TTCTCATCCCACGTTTGTGTCACCTGTCATAGACACCCAGCTGATTTTTTTTAAATTAAAAATACTGTTTTTCTTTGTGGCTTCTGAAGAACCACTTGAATTCTTAAGTGATATTTTGCCTAGGAAGCCTGAAGAGAACATGATTCAAAGAAATAGCTCTCAGATGCATGTTGCATAGGGGTCTCTGTGGAAAATGACAGATCTTGTGGTCCAGCAATGTGATGGCAGTACTGTTTACAACTGTGGAGACTGTAAGAGGTCCGACCAGATTGACTAGTGTCCTTGATTCAGCATGTTTTAGAAATAAATTAAGAATTTTCTTGGCTTGTTCTTTCAAGACACATCTACTTGAGGGTTGAACTGTGTTCATCTGCATTTCTTAAACTCACTTGGACCTTTATTAATATTCCAGTGTCCTAAACAGTACCGATTCCCTGCATAATGCAACAGCTGTCCCTTGTAGCCCTTGTACTAGTGCTGTCTGTAGAGACAGCTGGTCTCGTGCCCTTTAAACCTGATATCAAGCACTGAACAGTTGTGCAGGCTAAAGCATCCCTAACAACTGTCTCCTCCAGGACCCTCTTGTCTACTTAGACTGATGGTAGTTGGTGGTGCACTTGACCAGTGGAGAAAATGAATGAGAGGGAATGAAAAGACAAGGAAGTTTCAGCAGAGAGGGTCAACAGCTCCTCATAATTTAGTATTATCTGCAAACTTACTTAGTATACATTTGAGTCCTGCATCCAGATTGTTTATAAAAACATGAAAGAAAACTGTCTGTAAAATGGAGGCCTGGGGATCCCCACCAGTGTCTGGCCACCAGCCTGATGTAAACCCACTTACTACATAACCCTTACAGCCTGACCTGTCAGCCAGTTGTTCACACATCATCTTATTTATTTGTCTAGCTGTAAGCTGGACATTCTGTTTAGGAGGATACTGTGAGAAACAGTATTGAAAACTTTGCTGAAATCCAAAAAGGTCACATCCCATGTCTTTCCTTGGTCAACTAGATGGGTAATCTTGTCATACAAGGAAATTAAATACATTAAAGAGGACTTTCCCTTTGAAAACTTGTGCTGACAATCATCAGTGTCTCTGTTGTCTTTCAGATGATTTTCAGTAACTTCCAGAATAATTTTCTTCATAATTTTACCAGGCACTGAAGTGAGATTGACAGACCTCTAATTACTAGGGTCTTCTTTCTTACCCTTAGTGAAAACTGGGGCAACATTTTTCAGCTTCCAGTAACCTGGAAAAACATCCACCAGCTCTTTGAATACCCTGGGATTAATCCCATCAGGCCCTATAGATTTATGTGCATCCGGCTGGAGCAGTAAATCTCACATAAATTCAGAGCTGGTTGGGAGTTTGTTGTTCTTGCAGTCATGGTCCTCCAACTCAGGATCTAGGGAGTAAAGAATCTCCCAGACCTCTGTTTCAGCTGTGTGGTATTCCAAGTTAGCATCTGGGAAGTTGAAGTCCAGAAGGACAAGGATAGATCTAGAGATCTTTCTCAGATCCTTGAAGAATAACTCATTGGTGAAATACACCATCATCACCACAGTACGCATGTCACAGGACTCTTCCCACCAAGTTTTGATTATGCCAATGATGTCATAGGTCTAGGACTGAAGCAAAGCTTCTCTTGCTTATTCCTCTTGCTTCGTGCATCAGTATAGAAACATTTCAAATGTGCTCCAGTGGACTCAGCATCTCATGGAGAAGACTGAAGGACCTCACTAGCACACAGTCCCTCAAACTCTGCCGTAGCTTATCAGCGGTGAGACTGATTTTATCCCTTTCCCCTCCAAATCTAGTTCAATGCTCTTTCAATCAGCCCTTCTAACTTGTGAACAAAAATCCCTTTCCATCTCTGAGAAAGGTGTATCCTGTCAGGTGCCAGCAGGCTTTGTGTCGTGTAGACCATCCTATGATCAAAGAAAAAGAAAATTTTGCCAGTGACACCAGCCTCAGAGTCACATATTGATAAGCTGGGTCTGCCTGTTTCTACCAATATCATTCCCTGTTACTGGAAGGGTAGAGGAAAACTACCTGTGTGCCTGCTCCTTTAACCAATAGTCTCAAGGCCTGGAAGACCTTTTGGATTGCTCTTGGACTTTCTTTGCAACTTCATTGCCTCCTACATGAAGAAACATGAATAGTCTGAGGGCCATACAAGTCTAGTGAGTTTTCTAGCAATATCTTTAACCTGTCCCCAGGGAGGCAGCAGACCTCCCTGTGAGGCAGGTCTGGTTGGCATCCTAGGCCCTCTGTTCCCCTCAGAAGGGATGATGCCCACCACGGGCATCTAAGGCTGCCTTCCAGAGGTGTCGGGATGGCCACCGCTGCTCCTGGCTCCCATGCCTCCTCAAGAGAGCTGCCAGTTCCTGGTGGGTCTTTGCTGCCCCAGGGTTTCCCCAGTGTGGTGAGAAAAGAACACTAGGCCACAATCCTTTGCTCCGAGCCAGCACAGGAAATGGTCATCTCAGTGTGAGATATGTATTTGCTAATAACTAAGACATGTTATTAAAAAGTCAAAAATGGAAAGCAAAATTAGAAAGGAAAATGTGTGGGAGAAATGAAAGAGGATTCTTTTAAGACAAAAAAAAAAAAAAAAGTAGACTGTAGGGCTCCAGTTACTATGAATGACTTAAGCAGGCAGACAACACAAAAGGGTGAAAAGGAGGAGAGAATGAAGAGAAGAAAAGAAAATGTAGGTTATACAATCCTTTAAATGACATTACAAAAGCTTTCACAGGTATTTGGATTTCAAATAGAATTAAAATGCACTAAATTACTTCAGTTATTATGAGGAAAATTAAAATGCCTTTTTTTTTTTTTTTTTTTTTTTTAATATGAATATAGATTCAGACTATACCTGTGATCTTTGTAGTCATATTTCTAATGTAGTTGTTCATTATTTGGCTGGTGATCGAACGCAAGTTTTCCTCACTTCATTCTTTCTCTGAGGTATGCACAAAGGTTGAATTTAATTCAATGGAGAAAACGCAATTAGATGGCAGTTAGAATGTTAAGGAACTAGATTTAAAGTAAGTCAAACTTTTTTTTTTTTTTGATAAAACACTAGTTGCTTGTACTGTGCACATTTTAAAGTGCTTCATCTTCTTTTCAGCAGGGACTGCAACGTTTGAGATTATCTTGACTTTGCTAAAGTACTACACATTTGACAACTGTCAACAGGACTATATTTAGAGGGCCAATACTTCATGTAGTGGTTTAGCAGCCAGCGTTCCAGTGAAGGAGCATTTCTCAAAGGCTCTTCACTCAGTAAGTAAATGCATGAAGCCCTGATCTGTCACCTGTTCTGCATGTAATAAAAATGTTAATTGTTCTCTTAGATGAATATATTCTCATCTCTTATAAAAATGAAAAGTTGTCCAAAAAATAGCAAGCACAGTAACCATCCTGTAGGGGCAGAATCTCTTACATAGATACAATATGAAGTACATAAAACTGTATATACGCAGCATATAGTCAATTGTTTTGTGTAATTTAAGTAACTGAATTGAGAGCCACTCTAGAAGGTAAGATAGTGGAAACTAATTTTGCTCATTGCAATAACTGACTAAAGAGGCTGTTGGAATTCTGCCCCGGTATCTGATGTCAGAAAGAAAATTCAGTATTATGCCTTAAGGTTGTTTTTTGTTTCTTGGTTTGCTGTTTAATCTCAGAAGAATTTTATATAATACTCTCAGTTGTCTATAATTTAATTATTTTACATTTGGAGCCTCCACTCAAATGCTGTGTTTTCCTTGAAAATGAGTACTTAGTTGGGAGCTCTACTGTTGTTGCAGTTCCTCCATCCTGGTTAGATCAGGATGAAACCTGATTCTCTAAAGCTGCCTGATCACAATTTGCTCCTATAATTCCTTTTAACAATGCTTTTACAATTTGGTTGACCTCAGTTTTTGAATCTGTCACATACCCACCACTTCTTTTGTTCTGTTTCTGAATCATGCTTTGAGAGAAGATAAGCTTAGTGGATTTTTTTTTTTTCTTTTTTCTTTAATATCTGAGAAGGAGCTGGTAGGGATCCATTGTTGTTGTTATGTGTGGTTCAAGTCTGAATGCTTCATTACCGTAGCCTGTGAAATCCATAAGAATCATCTATCCCTCAAGGTATGGGTTTTGTCCCAAAGATGAGGTTTTACCTGAGCCAGACTTCAAATTGATTAAAAACAAGCTGGTTTAAGACTTCTTTGTACACACAACTGCTGGATTTATGTAGTCTTTAGATATGATTTAAATCTATGGGTACAGAGGTAATGGTTCATACACTGATATATATATCTGCAGCCGTAGTATTTACTTTACGTAGTATTTCCTTTTTATGACTTTTTCAAGCTAAATTACTTGCCATAACTGACATAAATTAAATGTTCAGAACCTGCATTCAGTTTTCACTCCAGCAATTCAGTTTGGAGAGTTTATATTCATGTGAGCAGGAAGTAGTCACCCATCTGATGATCTGTCTCGCAGCCTAAATCATAACCAGAAAGTATTTTATGCCTGAAGAAATAATCTCTGCAACCTCTTCATGATGATTTCTTTTGACTCTATCAGTCCGCAATGTGTAAGGATAGTCTGTATAATCATATTTCTACTCTTAAGTTATGTGGCAGTATTAGAAAATGATTATGCATAAGGAGAATAATAGCAGTTATAACTTCAAGATAAGATCTGCTTCCAATCTTTAGTTAGTAAAAATTTTGAAGTGTCGTGGACAATCTTTTCATTTTTGTGCTGGTGTGACCTTGTCTGGCTGCCAGATTCAGTCAGCTTCTCTCTTGTTCCCCTTCTCAACAGAACAAGGGGAGAAACTAAGAAAAATTTCTGGGTGTAGATAAGGACAGGGAGATGAATTACCAATTATCACCAAAGGCAAAACAGACTTGACTTGGTTAGGATTAATTAGCTTTATTACTAATTGAAAATAGAGTAGGATGGTGAGAAATAAAAACAAAACTAAACCCACCTTTCCCTAATTCTCCCATCTTTCTTGGCTTGCTTTCACTCCTTTGCTTCCTCTACTGCCTCCTCCCTTCCATGTGGCACAGGAGATGGGGAGCAGGTGTTGCAGTCAGCCCATAAGAGTTCCTCTCTGCTGCTTCTTCCGCTAAACACTTTTCAGATATGTGCAAAGGACGGAAAAGTAATAAATCTATGCTCATGCAGCAGGAGAGGTGAGTGGAACACATACAGAGCCATCTCCAGGCACTGCAGACCATTGCTGATATGCTTGAAAGTTGACATTGTTAATTTTTCCTCTAGAAATCATTGGCTGTTTTTTTTTCTAGTTAGTTCAGTGGAGGCTTTTATAAATATGTTTTTAAAATAATGTTTTTAAATAATGCAATAATGCTAAATGCTTATAAAACACACTCTAATGACATCGTTTTAGGTTCTATGTGTCAGTGTCTGTGTGTAGGTTTTACTCTAAGCACATACAAAGCATTCCAGCCATCATTATGCTCCAACTAGAGAAAGTGTTTTTGCAAAAGCCATGTTGTTAACTTTTATAGTGTTTATGAATTTTCTGATGCTTTATATATGTGTGTGTGTGTGTATGTAATATATATGATTTCTCTCTGTAAAGAAGAGTTCACAAATCTACATTTCTGAGCTATTAGTTTTCAGGAATGTTTTCCTTGCACCTCTATGGTCACCTATATGTGGCATAAGTTCAGGCTGATTGCAATAAAAAGGTGGTACATTCATGACACTAGCAGCCAGCTTCTGAAGTCTTTGGTAAAATCCTGTTAAAGTTGTAAGGATTTTACCCAGAGTACAGTTGTTGCTGTAAATTACAAATGCTGTTTTGCTGAGATAAACCAAGCACTTCTGATCATGAAAATGTTGCTATTCATGGGTACACGTTAGAAAAATGTTCACTGGTTTTGTAGTTTACTACTTCTCTACAAAAGAAAGTTCATTTTCTGTAAGCTGGTCAGTTTGGAGTGAAAGACTGTCTACTTTGATGCCACCTTTCTTTTTATCAGAATCATGCAATACCAATGTGTGTGGCTTTTACTGTCTGGAGCTATGAACACTCCTAGAGACCTTTTTTGTCTTTATCTTTCACCACTCATGCATAAAATTTTAGGATATATCCATTCTTTTGTACCTCTGCTTTGGTTTTGATTGGGTGAAGTACTGTCTGAGGAGAAAGGAGAAAATTGCTAACTGAGCTCTATGGAAGCCTATGGTATGCAATTAACTTCCTTTAAACATGTAGTATTATGTGATGGTAGCCAGCGAAAATAATTTCCCAGTATTCTAAAGTTGTAAAGCTGACTCACCTCTAATAATCTGGGCAAAAGCATTTAAGTTGGGGTGTAAACTGTCTTGAATTATCAATGTTGAGAAATATGAAACTGAATAATATTTTGGAAACCCTATTATGAACATTTGATACCCACATGTACTGTTTCTCAGAGGAAATGACAACTATTAGCCAAAAATTTCTCCTGTCTCCCCTTATGCTGACTTACTCTAACATCTTCAGGGAGTACCTGATCACCATGCACTGCAGCATATGGAAGTGGGTTTATAACCTGAAGAAATAAAATCAAGAGACAACTGCTTAACTTTAAATCCTGAAACTTACTGTAGCAACACTTACAAGTGTGAAAAGATTTTGGTTTACAGTGTTTAATTATAAATAGCAACAACAACAGTGGGAAAAGAGTAGTGCTAGCAGGAAAAGTGTGGGGGGCAGGAAGGTCTACAAATGGAGGGGAAAAAAAGTTATTTTTGGAATGCAGCTCTGATTAAAAATCTTCAACTACCTTAAAATTATTTATGTGATGAGTGTGTTACTGCTAGGTTATTCCTCCAGTTCAAGGAAACTCATGGCCTTTTTAGAAGACAAGGATTGTTCATGTTCATGCTTCAACATGCTGCCTCTGTGATAGGAAGAGGCGTTTGTTCTCTTATAAAAACTTGTGATTGAATTATCCAGTCACATCCTTGACCCTTGAACAAAGCCTTTTGATAACTTTGACTCATATTCATGGCCAAACTTGCCAAAACATGCAGGCAGAATTGAAACCGAATCCAAATCACTCTTATTTCTCCCTGAGACTCCAGTACAGTATAGACCAAGAACAGCAATACTGCTTATTTAAAGGAAAAAAAGTTCAAGAGCTGACGACCATAGTGACCCCCAGTGAAGATGTGTACAAACAGCAAGGCAAGTGGAGTTTATTCCTGAAAGACCATGAGCTCCTGTGTTTATATTTTGTAAATGTGGTATTCTAGGATTTCATGGCTTCCCGCTGCGGTTAATTGCCCAATCCCCAGACGGTGCTTTCTCTGCGTGAAAGACAGCCATTGCACATACTTATTCATGTGAGGACAGTTTTATAGAATATCTGACTGTGTGCTGGAACACCAGCTGTTGGTCTCCACTGAGGTGTGCAGCACTCATCTGTACTTAGTTTGATTACTTTTGTTGTACTTCAGATTCGTTAACTCTTCAGAAGCTTTACAATTAATTGGCAGTCAAGTCACATCATTCCTTTTCTATTTTTTCAGTCTTTGCAGTATACTTTAGGCAAATGATCTTTTCTTGCACAGACAGTCAGGTTTGGCTGCTGTCTTCAAAAACATTGTAAAACTAATGCATTGAGAATGATTTATGATAAGAAAATGCCTTTTAATTTCTATTGCTATTACTGAAGGAAAACAAACTGTTTAGAAGGTGGAAATGATAGCATGCAGCTCATTTAGGTTTCTTTAGTAGGTACGTAGTGCTGGATGAACAGAAATACTCTGTTGTTGACAAACAAGACTTTCAATGGATCAGCTGATAAACTGCAGTGTTTGTGTGATATATTACCTACAGGTGCAGGTATATATGGTGACTGTTAGCTAGAACCCTGTTATACAAGGATCAGAGGTTGCAGTGAATGAATTAAAGATGATTGACTCATACTGTAGAGAGCTGTTGTCATTGCTGGGCTGCTGTTGACTTTTGACAGTAAGCTACTCCTTGCAAGAGCATAAGGTCTGAATTAACTTCTATGCCAACCAAAATAATTCTGTGCTTACTCAAAGAATTTGACTATCTCCAATTTCTCAATGGTGAACATAGAGGTATCATCATATTTCAGTAGCTATAAGCCTCTGTTTCATAATAGCAAGAAGAATTTTACTGCAAAGGGTTCTATATATAGAAGCCATAGTATATTCCTGCTGCTCGCAGTATGCTTCCTGTTGTGGATCACATTGGTATTATCATTTTGGCTAAGGAAGTGAACTTGTGATACTCTAACAGCTGGATCTTGCTACGTTTTCACATCATACTGCTGAATCTCAGTACTTTGGTTGTATAAACGCAGCTATCTTGCAAACTCAAGAACTGTATTTTATGATCTTTGAATTTTCTTTGTTTCGTGAGTATTATGTGGTATCTGATGTATCCAGTATGTGTGGGACATTTTACTTATTAAAGGTATTTGGGAAAGAAGTCTAACTGTAGAGCACAAAAGTATCCTGTCAATATTAGGGGGTGTTTTTGACTTTCCTCTTAGAGGTGGGAAACTGGAAGGAGTGCATGGATACCTGCAGGCCTCTGGAGGCAGGAAAGCTGTAGATACCAGACACAGGCAGTAGCTTGTTGGCTTTCGTTCTCAACACTTCTGAAAGGTATGGTGAAGAAGGCCATTGATAAAGAAGGAAAGCTCTATCTGGGATACTGGATGCTTCCTTTAATAGGCTTGAGTAAATGAAACAAAGTTTAGGAACACAGAAAAGCTCCTGGGAGCTTATTTGATTTGATTGCTAAACCTTTTGAAGTGTGCTTATTGCTATAAGGAAGGAAATCTGGAAAAGGTCAAGTATGAATTAGGTGAGAAATACAAAAAGGAATTGCTTGAGATGGTCATTAAATAAGACAAAAATGAGATTCAGGAATAAATGGAACAGTATCACTGTAAAGGTGAAATGCCTCAGCATAAATCACTAAAGACAGTGAAACTGGAACAAGTCTATCCAAGATGCATTGATTTTGTAGAGGTCCAATTCCAATCTGGTGAAATTGATATTTTGCAAGAGCCTCATATCCCAGTCTACATGCCTGCTTGTGAAGACCTTGTAAAGACTAAAGGTCAGTCTATCTGTCTCTGTCTACTGTACTTACGTATTTCTAACACAACCATTACCATCATGTCTAGGAGTAGGAAAAATGATCAATATTATTGTCTCTGGTGTTGGGGAGTATCCAAAGCCCTGCTACATTAGGCTCTGAGTGACTGAAACAAAGACATATCCGTGCCCATGGGAGCTCACAATCTAGTGTTTGAGGCAATAAGATAGGAACAATTGAATAATCAGATGAGCAGGAAACAAAGGCATGGTAATGGCCCCTTCCTGCAGATGAAGGAAGCATTCAGTGTAGCTGCCAGAGCTGTCCATAGTCTGGGCCTCCAGGGTATCAAGATGTTTATTTGAGATGGGACCCACCTCCTCTTTTCATGTAGCGGTGTCAGGGATTATCAGTGCAATTCTCTGGGACCTTTCTGATGCTCTGTTGCTTTGCTGCCTGCTTTGAATGGGGAAAGACTCTAAGTCCTGTTGTTCCCATGTGGTTATTCACACTCTGAATCAATCCAAACAAATCTCAGGTGTATTTCTTGGGATTTCATCTTATTTGTCCCACTTTTTTATTAAAGTAAAAAGGCCACCAATATGAAACAGGTAATAATTGCTCAGAAGGGGGCTCTGGGACTTTGAGAATGATCACAGAAATAAATCAAAGGGTTAATACAGAAATAAACTGCTGAACACATTACTTAGGTCTTTGTAATATTTGCCTTCTAAAATGTAGTTTTATGTGAGTAATGTTAGTATCAATATTAATATCTGCTGAGATGAACAAAACTAACAATGTAATAGGAAAAATAAATGTTAGCCTCCACAATAAAGTTTTCCATGGGGAATGTCAGAAACCCTAGGACAATTTTCAAGGGCTGATTTAAATCTCTGAATTTTAGACTGGTGTCACTGTTCTACTCAGTCTGTCATTGTTACTCATTTTCTTTCTTTCTTTTTTTTTTATCTGTTTCTACACAGTTGCAGTTAAATGTCCTACAGAGAAGAACATCTTTAGTTTGTGCCTGCATGAATGTGCATAGCTTGTTTCAGTACTTAATTGTCTGATATCTTCAACAGAAGATACAATAACTGTATTTTTAAGCACATTTTTCTTGTAATTGCAATATTAGATATATTCACTGTACACTTCCTTGATATTTGCAAACACTAAAATGAAAGTGGTTTATAAGAGGAGAAGGGGATCATCCATGTTATTTTTTTTTTTTTTTTTTTTTTTTTTTTTTTTTTTTTTCCCCAGAGGATATTTATCTTTAAACACATTGAGCAGTCTGGAGATGAAAGAAAATGCTATATAGCACTACAGGCAGAGCCAAATGTAGGTCTTTAGTGAAAGCCCAGAGCTAAGCTACCTGGACAACCATTAGCAGGGAAGATGAATATGGGCAGTACCTTCCCATTTAGGATTGTGTATATTCGTTCTATTGACAAGTCCGCCATTGATAGCTGGTATCACACTAGCTCAGATTTGCTTGAACATGCTTCCGTCACACTGAATTACAACGTAGATCTGCTCTGACAAGACAACACCTCATTCTCTGCCCCTGCTAGATAGAGGTTTAGCCAAAGCATCCTCTTGTGGTCTCTGAGCTCTGGGTGATTGCTCGTTGTCTGACAGCTCCAAATTCCTGCAAGGTACAGCATGTCCTAAAACCAGCACATTGCTTGTAGCCATGCCTTCCCCTGAACAGCCGCAGGAAGAAATTTCACAACTGTTTTCCCAATTGTGGTGACAGGCAAATCCATTGTCCTGCAGGGGTTGGAAGCTTTATGTGGTCCCTGCTGCCATTCTGGGAAGCTTTAATCCAGTGTCTGGATAGCTCTGCCTGTAACATTGGCAAAGTAGAACTGTGAAAGAAATGTCTATGAGGGTGTTTTCTCCAGTGACAAAAACTTGAATGCAGTAGAAGCATTTTATTCTGTGAAACAGGGGGGCCAGAGGCAGCAGCTGGTGTAAATCAGCACAGCTCCTTTGAAGAGACTAGGGCGATGATTCTTTAGATCCGCAGCTGCATCTTATCTTGCATTTTCAAATTAGAATATTATGCATAAACACAATGAGTTGTTCTCCTCGGTGGTGTGGGAAGTACACATTTTGGCCCTCTTGACCTGCAATCTGTTAGCAGCTTTCAGCAATTACACACTTCGTATAAATGATAAATGACTAATATTACAGAATGCATTAATTTTACACTCTTCAACCTCTTGGTAGTTATTTTCTTGTGGTAAAACTATATCCTGATATTTATGAAATGAATAAAAATCTTAAAGAAAAATGAGCAAAGATCATAGAATTGGCCTGGTACGGTTGGCAGCCTCTGCATGTTTCACTCATGTCCAGCAACAGCCTAGTAAACACATAAGGGTAGCTCCATCTTCTCTTAATTATCTCAGGCTGAAAGGAGAAGGAACCCTACCTTGTACAGAGGTCTCATGAGAGTAATTATTTTTTCTGCTAACTCCGCCAGCCAAAATTTTGGTCATTGTGGAAACAAATGCCCCTGTATTTTCCTCTTTTTTTTTTTTTTTTTTTTTTATTAGTGCTTTCCATTTAGGCTGTTGTTCTTGCCTTAGATGTTGGCCCTAGCAACTTGGCCAATTCGTGTCTCATGGGCTTTTTCCATGTCTTCCTTCAGGCAGACCACTGCATACCTGGACTTCCCACCATGATCAACTCCCTGGGCCATTTCTCCTCAGCAGCTTTTGACTCTGGTAATTGCCCCTGGCTGTGAAAGTCACTAAGTTTTCCCCTTCACTAAATATCACGGAGGCACAAGAACCTCATCACAGTGCTGAATCCATCCCCTTGGCTTCCTCAAATGGCCTTTTGCTCTTTGCTTTCCATGGCAGCATAATGAAATGAGGCAGCAGTTTCATTACAGTATGCTCCAAATGCTGTTTTATGTAATGTTGTTTGCAGCGCTGTAGTTTGCTTCCTTACTGCCAGTTTCATCGCCGTCTATAAAGCTTAATTCAATTGTTTGTTGATTACCTCTTTGGATTAGTGCATAAATCTCAAATTGAAGCTGCTAGAAGCATTGGTAGGGCTATAGATGTCACAAGACTTTGTCTCTCTATTTTTGTGTCCTTATCTGGGGTTACACTGGAGTAAACCTTTGCTGCTGTTGTAAAGATGTTCAGGAATGAGAGGAGAAGGCTTCATGCTCATAAAACTTCTTTTTAAACAATTCTGTAGAAGAACAACTATGGAGAGAACTGTATATGTCTACTCTAAGTTCTACGTCCTCTTTCAACTAGAACATATATTACTTTGCATTACTTTGGTGTTTGTCAAATTGCACAAAGAGAATAAATCTCTATTTAATGTATGAGATATTATCTGAATACTGCCAGGACCATGAAGGTTTCTATTTTGAGGCATCTCTTTAAATAAACCACATTTCGTACTTTGGAAGCAAGCCAAACAGAAGTGGTTTTTACTCAAGTTTTTAAGGCAGGATCTGCCTTAGAAGCAGTTGTGTTGGCCTCTGCCTCTTTGCCCACATTCCCAACTCTTGAGAAGTCCTGAGACTTACGGAGATTATGGTTTGCTTTCATAACTTGCAAGGTGCTTTTCTCACCTCTCTTATGCCATCTGAGTGTGGGAAGCTCTCACGTTCATTTTAGGTTTTCAACATGGATCTTTAATGTCTTAGTATATGTTACTTTATATGTTTTTCCTTTCAAAGGTGATGCAGTTCTACTATTCAAATAGTTTTCCAGGTAAAGGAAATTATTTGCTATATATAGAATTAAACACAGAGGAATATTGATAATAAATTGAGATGGCATCAGCAAATGATGTGTAGACTTGTTTACAGCTAGCTTTTTTTTTCTCTGTGTCATGCTTTCATGTGTTTTTATCTCCCCCCCGCCCTCCCCCCTCCCTCCCTTTTTGCCTTCCTTTTCCTTACTTTTTTTCCTTACTTCTTCCTTCCTTGCCTTTCTGTCCAAGTTGTATGTTCTGCCTTACATGGTTTCTGCTCCATTTTCCTTCTGTGACCTCATGGAGGAAGAAGAGAAAGCCATTAATATTAACGTGTTGTCTGAAGTTTGTGATGTACACAGGAATTCAGAAATGAGCAATATCAATTTCCTAGCTATTATGGAATCTGAATTTACAAAAAACAAATACACTTGACATTTTCATCATATTTCTTTCTTAATTAAGTTTGTTGAATGCCTTAGTGCAATCTTATTTATTGGAAAATTACAAAAAGCATGTATGGAGATCATGAAACTTTTCCTTGATCTTCTGAGACTCATGATGCAACTAGCTTCTACAAATTACACTTGGATAGGGCTATTTTTCTACCTCCTTTTTCTACATATCAGCCTTGCTTGTTTGGTGACAATGGCAAGAGCAAGTGATCTACTCTGGTGCTGCTGTTTCTTGCTTGTGCAGATGGTCACTTACTTTTGCTGGGGGCTGTGTCTACAAGGCCAGTCTTCTTCTGAGAATTGATGAGGTTTTGGTAATAAACATGCCTTGATGTAATACATAAGGATTTAAATGTATATTAAAATATCCTGACAAATAAACTCCTTAAATTAATTGAAGAGAAGGATTTTTGAAATCTGATTGACACTTTCTACTTGTAATGTGGCTAGTGTTTGTCATGGCTAGTGTTTGCTAGTGACCCTTATCAGCTGATGAGAGCAACCTGTCCACTTTGCTTACTTTTTCAGTCAGTTTATGGTCAAGTTTCACTGTCCCTTGTGTACATACCATCAAGGTGTCACAACACCATAGCAGCAAAACCAGGAGAGTGTTTGCTTAAAAGTATGCATCCTTTTGGAGTTCCTCCTCCAACTTTCATAACCATTTTTTGTTGACTCTCACACTAGGTTTTTTACTTTTTAATAAACCTTTTATTGGGTGTAAGTTTTACTTGGTGGTGTCCCTTTAAATACTGCACTCTGCCTAAATAAAAGATGGGAAGACAGATGTTGAATGAACATTCATTGATTGCTTTCTGATTGCTAGTTCAGGTGTCTTTCTTCAGCCATATAGAATGGCCATATGGGAAATCAATAGTGATGATCTTTATTATAAAGTACCAGAAGTGAAGTGCTTCACCTATACATGTTTTTGGGGAGGGAGAGGGATCAGAACCCAATTAGAAAATGCATGAAACTGACAGAGCACAATGTTCCTTTAAAATTGCTGAGGGCTGCAAAACGAACAGAAAGCTTAATGAAATACTCAGACAGTTGCACATTCTGTATGTAAGTTAATCTCAGAGTTGGAGAGGTCCACAAATTTAGTACGTCTTGCTTCATTTTTGTATAAAATGCTGGTAGTTGTATGTTTTTACATGTGAAATGACAACAATTAGTGAGAAAGGCCTTGGAAAGTTCAGTAAGTTCAATTATAAAGAAGTTATTGGAATTGATTCTCACTGAGTAAGCAAATAAGCCAGGGTCTGATTTGATCTCTCTGATACTTCTCATTATGTTAAGAATGACAGGTTTTTTATTTCTATTTTCTTACTATTTACTTTTGAAAGAGTAGGAGTAACAATAATTTCAAACTCTTCAAATCATGCTAAAAGGCTTCGCAGCAGACATGCAAGATAAGACAAAAAAAATCAGTCATTGAGGAGATAATGGGTTTGGGTTTTGGATGGTTAACTGTAGTGTGTGCCTAAGTTAAATGTATAGGCTACACTTGCAGAAGCAGCCATCTGCACTAGGCAAGAAAGTGAAGTTCTTTATCTACCTGCCCAGGCGGTGCAGCACAAGCTGCCACTGCTTCTCAGCTCCACTGAAATCTTTGTCAGTGTATCTCTACCCTCCTGCGGCAGCTGCAGATTTGTTTGCAATGTTTATTTTGGCATTTCTTATTTTGGTCCCCCAAAGAAATCAAGCAAAACTTGTCTCTAGCCTGTATTGTATTATATGGGAAGAGATGCCACTTCTTTCTTACCCTAATAATATTTTATGATTCGTCAAAGGTTTGGTGCAGTCGTAGATCTGGTTGTACTTCACCCTTTGATTAAAGACAAGTCTTCCACATCACCAATTCCATTTCAGTCTCCAGATTCTTAACATTTAGATATGTAGGGCAAAAAATAACCGCTGTATCCTGTTGCAAAATCCAGGAACTGCTTCATTTTATTTTGCCTTTTATCTGACTTTTTTATTTTATTTTATTTTTTTTTAACAATGCCTGTGCTGTAAAAAGCTATATGGAACTTTCTGCATGAACGTATTTATCATCTCAGAGGGGTAAAAAGTCATCTAGTTCATATTAACTGAACTCTGTGGTTCCCTGTGGTCAACAGCTGGATGACAAGACATCAAGTGTACATTAGGCAGCTTTCTAATTAAATATCTTCATTGCATCTAAAACACATAGTAGCACTTCCTAGCTAATAAAGTACACTGCAGTCAATTTGTTGCAGATACCGCATTGCCACTCCTATTCCAGACCTCTTACAGTCTGTTGCAAGAGTAGGATACAAACATAATATGTTGTAAAAAGTAACATTTAGCTGTGATTTTGCAAAGTGTTATCCTATTTGTTTTAAGTGTCATGTAATTATCAATTCATTTACTACCTATTGTAATGCCATGAATCATAATGAATGTATTTGCATAATAGGTAGTATCACATGAGCTCAATTATAATTCAGTATTAGCTAAATGTACCATGAAAACAAAATGTTTCCCATAAAGGTAGGCTGGGGTTGATATATAACCTGTCTCATACATGGTGTATCACAAAAGCTGTCAAGGGAAATTGTTCCATTTGTGGACTTGCTCTCAGAGGGAACTATTTTGCAGCTCTGAACTTCATATATTTCCTCTTCCACCTCCAACCCCCCATATTTAAATGCTCTGTGGCCATGTCAACCCTGCAGATGAAGTTATTGCACACAGCATGCTCAGAAACTTGTCCTTGCTATTTAGTTGATATGCCAGTGCTCTGCTAGCTCATATCACAAAACAGTCTCTGCCCAAAAGACTGAAATTATTGCTCCAGTGATACTCTGAGACCTTCACACACTGTACTGGGTGACTGGGGACTTGTCTCCAGAGGGCTGCCTGAGCTCTGTGTAGGCTTTAAAACTCTTTGATGCCAGACATAACTTCTTTTTAAATAGAAAGGTCTCTAAAATGACATCTGCTCCTTCACGGAATAGGAGTCAGCTCTGCCTCACCGTGTTGCAAATTTGATATGAACAGTCTCCCAGCTGCATCAGTTACTTGGTTTGCTCAAGTTACGTTGCATGTGCAGACTGGCCTGTGCTGTCCACCACTTACTGATTATCACAGTCAGTTGTCACTTCTCTCCCTACTGTGTTAAAAGCAAGGTCTTCCTTTCAAAACCAGACCCAGCTCATTGCATATACCCTAGCTTGAAGAACTACCTGATGTCCCTTTAAGTAAAGAACAATGTTATCAGCAGTCCCTGGTTTCTGTACAGCCTGGCATTGCAGATCCTGCTCTACCTCTCAGTGTTTCTAATGGGTGATCAAAAGTGATCCACCAGGGATATGCCACTGGGGAGGAAATGGCTCTGTACTTGCATTAGTCATCATCAGCAGTTCAGCTACCAGTATTCTTTCTCCACCTTTCCACTTCTTTATCTTCGAGCTGCTTCTCCTACCCTAAACGCTCTCTGCTATATCCTATAGTTTAATATGCTTTTATTACATGAAGATTTATGTAAGCTGATATGAAGCACGTATTGCTTTGCATATAAA